TGAGTTATATGTACTCACTTTTTATCATTCACAGATGAAGTAGGGATGGAGCCGGGATCGGAGTTGCTGGTTTCCGAGCCTAGCATATAGCGCAACAGAGCAAGAATTCTTTTTGTGGGCAGAACAGAGTGTGTAAAAATTAGTAGTAGTATAGATAGTGTCTGTTAAAAGTGTACGAGATTGTATTTCTTTGTTATGTATATGTAGGATTGCAGGTTTGTCTTGATTTGGAATAATGGATTGTAGGAAGGTTTCTATCTGTGTGATTGATTTGGAATGAAACTTTCGTATTTTGCAATAAAATTATTTAGATTGCGCCGTTAAAAAAATAAAATTAATTCTGACTATAAATTAAATATATAACTTATAATTAAATTTAGTGTAGTTGAGGTCTTCGTAATGGGCTGAATTTATGGGCTCTTAGTGAATAAACTTGTAGCCGAACAATCCCTAACCATGGGTTTTAATAAATTTTAAAACTTTTTATTTTATAAGTGAAAAATACGTTTACATAATTATATAATTCAAAAGTATAAGTATAGTTATTAAATTGGGTATAAAATGTGAAAATTATAATCTATTGTTTTATATAAAACACTTAGATATAAATCTTAGGTGGAACAAAATAAATTTAGATTAAGCACGAGTAATAATAATATTTTTAAAAAATAAAACAGAAATAACATATTTTAATAAACCACAAATTTCTTATAATAATGTACTCGATTTTAAGATAACAATTAAATTATAAGAAAAATCTTATGCTAAAAATAAATAATTTATTATGATATTTTCGACAAAAATTTTTCGAACATCATTAGAGAGGACATCATTGAAATTTTTTGACCTGAGATATGTAATACGTATGCGATAAATTTTTTTATTAAAAATATTTGGATGTCTTTAAAAAATTTAAAATTATTGTTTTGAATTATTTTTTAAAATATTAAAATATTATTTAATTTTTAATTTTTTTTAACTATATATATATATATATATGTACCTATTGCGTGTACTAACTTTAGGGAATTATGTTTTCTTATCCAAAAAACAATTATTCTTTTGCACTTGCAAAGTAAAAGCAACCAAAGAAAAGGAAGAGGAATATTTACTTTCGGATGGGATAGAATGATGATTCATTTTTAAGATAATTTATTTTTTATTTTTTATTTTTCACTCAAACTATATATTAATATAAAAAAATAAAATAAAATAAAATAAAAAGTGGGTCTAATATTTAAATTTATAAATAAAAATAAAAAAATTCTCAATATTTAAAATGATAATATTTATTTTATAATTAATTTTTTGTATATTACAATTCTTATATTGGGATTTGTAAATTACCCATAAATCACTATATTTTATAACTAGATAAAAAATAAATAAAATATTGTTTTTTTTTAATTTTATCATGGTAATAATTAATTACATAAATATTAAAAAATGTTACTATAAATGGTATTAATATATTTCTAAAATTTGATAAGCCAAATTTTAGAAAAAAAAAATTGGGTTTTCTTTTTTTCCTTTTTTTATTTCGATTGAAATTTTCGAAGGAACAACTTGCAAAAAATATATATGTACATATATACATACACACACTTGATTTTATACGTGTGTGCGTGTGTGTGTGTGTGTATATATATGCATATACAGATAATTGGAGAATTTATAGAAACTAACTCGGAATTAC